AACCTCTCACCATTTCAGCGAACTGTAGGAGTATGAACATGGGTCGAATCTTCTTTACCGCTCCGACGATAGCTCGAAGTTATCAATGTATGCAGTCAGTTCAATGCATCGGCACGTCCCTCTCAGTAGTACGGTCCCGTATTCCCTTCTTCTGTTAGGTTTCCTTTCCATGTGGTCTGATCATTAAAATTTATGTATTCATTTTTTGTCTGCACAACCCATGCTACAACTCACATTATTCTAAACATCTTCATGAAATATCCTGATATTATTATAAGGAGACCTTAGATCATGAAGTTACTTGTACGTAATAAAGAGTGATATACTACGTATATTCTGGGATATAACATCATATAGTCAGTAGAAAGTCACCAGACGTTTCGGAGGAACATGTCGCTTCTATCTTAAAAGTAAAAAAGTAAGCCAAATAAGAAACTTGTGTCAAAGCTATTTTTGTTCCTTCGATACGTCGGCTGGCTTTCAGCGGATTACATGATGTTATACCCTAGTAGATAGAATGCACTATAACGACCTCTGTGACAACCCCAAATCCTACATAACTCATACGTATTTTTCTCTGTTTCCCATATCGTTCTTCATACATATCCAAATGAAAGCGAAAAGCTGAGAAAGGCATTAATCTTTTTAAAGGAAAGTCTTAAGGAAAGTACTAGTTAGTTAGTTATTGGAGAGGGTGGGTTTCCCCATGCACTGAGACCTGTACTGGTCCAATGTGATTTCCTCTATGATTTCTACCAGTCTCTATATCCTACCGGTACTGGTGCTTACCATCAGTCCCGCCCAGCCAGCGAGACCGGCTCTACTAGCTGAGAGGTATCTATAATGCTTCCCCCATCTACCAGAGGTATTAGAGACTGCTGTTGGGTGGGAAACGTCCGTTAATTTGGCTCAGTGACCTCCTTTGGAGATATGAGGTTCTTTTACGTGCCGTAAAGCTACGACACGGGACCCACGGCTTAAAGTCCCTCCCGGAGGACTTGTTCCCTGAATTTTTCTGCCCTCCGCCGGGTATTTGAACCCGCGTACTACGAGTCATGAGGTGGGAACGTTACCTTTAGACTACGGAGGCCGCGTAAGAAAAGTACTAATTCAGGGACCCATTTGTAGATGAAAGAGCAGTACTAATAAGTTCAATTGTATGAAAGAATTATATTATGATGGTGTTCTCCTTCTTGAAGGTGTTAGACCCTCCAGTCTGTTCCTTCCTCAAGTTTATTCCATCCTTTCATGAGACATATTAACAATTTTATCAGATTTGAAACGAACTTCTCAGATCTTTGTTTAATGCTTGTTTTGTATACTTGAATATTTCTTTTCAAAAAATTATATAATAATTTCATAAGCCGGAAGGTCGCGGGTTCAAGTCCCAATGAGGTCATTGCATTTTTTTCAGTTGACCTAATCCTTCCAGCCGCACATGGCCCTGGGGTTTACTCAACCTCTAACAGAAACGAGTACCAGGAATTAATTAAATAATTTTCCTGGGGAGTAAAGCGCGGCCGGCGCGTAAGGCTGACAACCTTTGAGCCGATTGTCTAGATAATGTGGGACCCTCAACGTCTCACAACCGTATGGGCCTTCACGGCCTGGTACAGGGATAGCTTTACTTTTTTTTATATATATTAATTTCATTTTAACTCTGCATTTCTTGCTCCACTGTTTATTTATTTACCTTTATAATTCCGTTACAAACATACAGACTTTCGAAATTAAGAAAAAAAATATTTTAATGGCAAGAAAATGACAAACCTCTATATTTCTAGCAAAATGCTTTCGAAATAATGAAGAGAAAGAGTTACGATGTCACTGTGGTTGTGTTACGTGATTCACTGTTATAAATTATAGCCCTCGAGAGAGACTTTGAAACCAGAGTGTGAATGCACGCTATGGACTTGAAAAATTCTTAAAAAATACCTACGTTTTACTAAGATATTAGGCATGACAGAACAGCAATATACACTATTCAGTGCTGCTATGTGGAAGTATGCTGTGAAGTCTCTTCAGCAAAGGTAATACAAGAATACCGACTCAAATCATCTTCCATAGCAGTCTTTTGCTGCCATCTTTTTTCGTGTTCGTAACTACTTCCTAACACGCATGGCGACTGGACATAGGGCGTTAGTCGTTCATGTGCATGAATAATGTATTGCCTTCCGATTATTTATATTGGGCTGCTTCAACGTGACAGCCTTGCAAACATCTGAATCTGGTGTTTAAAGTAGGAAGCTGTAATGTCTGAGGCATTGCAGCTTCTAGGAAAATACTGGGACAGTCTGGATGCAAAAGTATAACAAGCCAGTAAGTAAAGTTGTCCTTGTGCTTAACTGATTATGCAATGCACCATGAAGACGTATGGGGGAGTGGATGTATAGATCCACCTTTTCTTGACCTCGGTACTAGCTGGAGGTAAGTGGTGAGTTTTACGCCCCCGATACCCATTGTATTGGAAACTGGGTGGGCCCCAGAGCCGCTCTGGACGACTTGGAGAAGTAAAAATTCTTGCCTCCGTCGGGACTCGAACTCCAATCCCTTGGTCGACTAGTCCCGTAGCCAGTCGGTATACCGACTGAGCTATCCCGACCCTTTGTAACAAACCCGTGACAGTTCGGAATAGATCTACAGGCCCATGTTTATTTCCATGTGTTGGGTGGTCTGTTACTACAATTATTGACTTTTTGAACATTATCCGTCGTTCTGTTTTTTACCTTATTTAAAAACAATTTTCTGAGGCTGGAAAATACTATCAAAACCTTCTGTTAGGTCTTATTATATATATACATACACGAGTATAGTCTTATATCTGATTTTATAAGTCGATAGACTGTCCTATCATTGATTTTATATTTTTTTTTTCTTTTCGATTTTATCTCTTCTATTTCTGCAATGCTATGATTTTATTGACACTGACCATTTAATAATGCCTGGCCATAGATGCAATGCCTCATTTGTGTGAAGTTTTGTAATATTTATCTTAACTCCCTCTGATGGCGACCATTATGTCTGGTGTGTATATCCTGTTTTGTGTTGGTTCTAGTGTCCTGCGATAGGAATTAGATCTATCGATTTCCCCCCAACTTAGTAGGTTTTCACCCATGGATGGAGAGAGAATACAGTCTCAGAAATTTTATTTTTAAATAAAAAACAAGACGAGGAATAATTTATAAAAAGTCAATAAAATCTTTTAAGTTTCGCGTTGAGAAACATTGTAAATCGGTAAGCCAAAATTTTGCACAAGAATGTTAATTTATTTAACAAGTTTTGTTACCTTTTCTGAGCAAGCTGAAAAATGTGTGGTATTGCTTATCGTTTCGGGCGCATTCGCTATGTCTTTGCCTCTTCGCTGATGATTGGATCAGAATTTCGAGAATTATGAGATGACACAGGCATTAAAGTCCCCTTCGCTTCATTTTCTGAGAAAATTTAATATTTACTGAAGATATATTGTCAAGTATGTTAGTGACTAAGAACGGAATTCGGATTGGTAATCGGATTTATTGACCATATACAGGTCGTAAATGCAATTAGTTCTTACACTCACAAGATCACCGTAAATATTACACACGAATTCATGTCTTGAACATCTGTTAACACTTCAATTATTCAGCTACTTTCTGAATTCCCTTCGACCGAAATCTCATCGCTTGAACTCTCAAGTGAACTTTCCTGGACCGACTCCTCGGCTGTTTCGGAAACTCTTATAATTCTTCGGCACGAACCCCAAAGAAAACACAGCTATGTACTATTGCGTAGAAAGGACCACATACAAAGCTAGCTCTGTACTGTTCCGTGGCGCGGACCACATAGAAAGCATAGCTCTGTACTTTTGCGTGGTGCAGACCACACAGAAAGCAGAGCTCTGTACTGTTGCGTGGCACAGACCACACAGAAACACAACTCTGTACTGTTGTGAGGCGCAGACCACACAGAAAACACAACATTGTATTGATGCGAGGCACAGACCACACAGAAAACACAACACTGTACTGTTGCGTGGTGCAGAACAAACAGAAAGCATAGCTCTGTACTGTTGCGAGGCGCAGACCACACAGAAACACAACTCTGTGCTGTTGCGTGGTGCAGACCAAACAGAAAGCATAGCTCTGTACTGTTGCCTGGTGCAGACCACACAGAAAGCAGAGCTCTGTACTGTTGCGTGACGCAGACCGCACAGAAACACAGCTATGTAATGTTGCGTGACGCAGACCACACAGAAAGCACATGTCTGTACTATTGGGTGGCGCGGACCACACAGAAAGCAGAGCTCTGTACTGTTGCGTGGTGCAGACCACATAGAAAGCATAGCTCTGCACTGTTTCGTGCGCAGACCACACAGAAACACAGCACTGTACTGTTGCGTGGTGCAGACCAAACAGAAAGCATAGCTCTATACTGTTGCGAGGCGCAGACCACACAGAAATCACAACACTGTACTGTTGCGTGAAGGAGACAAAACAGAAAGCACAGTTCTGTACTGTTGCATGGCGTAGACCACATCGGAAGCACGTCTCTGATATTGTTGCATGATTGGAGAGTGTTTACACAGCTGCTGCCTGGCAATATTTTGATCAAATCCGTTACAATATGTTGCGGAAAATTTTTCGAGCTAATTTTTAGAGTTAGTAATTTAACACTTTCCTCATACTCAGAAAATATTTCAACCAAAACTTGTCAAAATTTTTCAAATTTATGATACTACTATGCCGCGTTACAAGTGGGGCGCAGGCGAAAATTTGTTAACGATCATAAACTTGTAATGGATGTGTTCTTACAGAATTTGTACTCTTATGTACAGATATTACGTACGGCCCAGCTGTTCTTATACCTCGAAAGTTGACACGGAACTTTTTATGAACCCCTGCATGTAAAAATCTTTCGTTCAAAAATCATTAGAAACGACACACGGATATAATTTTTATTTGCCATATCAGTAAATGTTCGTAACAGAATCTTAAGAAATTATGGTGGTTTGTTTTGTGCAGGTGTGGATCTTCGGCGACGTGTGGTGCTCCATATGGCTTGCTGTGGACGTGTGGATGTGCACTGCCTCCATCTTGAATCTGTGTGCCATTTCTCTCGACCGTTACGTTGCAGTGACCCGCCCTGTTACGTATCCCAGCATTATGTCTTCCAGTCGCGCCAAGCTACTAATAGCAGGTAACTTTTCAGGGCCCAAGCAAACAAGGCACCTCCTATATGGTGACACTGAAACAAATCAGCTTCATTCGGTCTTCCTTACAGCTACTAAACACTCTCGGGGAATGCGGTAGCTTAATTGGTTGAACCAATATAATACAAGCCGGAAGGTCGAGGGTTCAATTCCCAATTGAACCCTTACATTCATATTTTTTTATTTTTCTCGTGGCGTGAGCCTGACTCCAGTTCGTACTACGATCACTGTTTGGCCTATTGTACCAGCCCCAGATGATAGATGATGATTGTGGAGCATACGGTGGAATGCGAATTGGTAGGGGTAACCGAAGTACTCAGAAAGAACGTTTCCCATCCTCACCGTCACCTCTGAGCGGATTGTCTAGAAAGTGTAGGAGCCTCGACATCTCACAAACTTATGGGCTTGCACGGTATGTTATAGGGATCTCATAACCTTTTGTTTATTATACACACCCTCTCAGTCTCTCATTACCTCAAGAATTTAATAATATGTATCTTTCGGCAAAAATAAATTACTTAGAGTTGGTACTGTGTTAGTGAATTTTACTTAAATGATCAGACTGTAAGATCTCATGCAAAAAAAGTTACGGATTCAATGTTAAAAAGTTTAAGTTATTTCAGGTTTAGCGGAAGTGTTCTTGGTGTTGCAGTACACACTCCTAATGCCTGTGGTGTCGGCATTAAAGCGGTTAAGTTATATCGCAACGTGTAGATCAGTCACTTTCAGTTGGACTCACCTTCACTCACTACCGTCCTGTTTAAACCTTAGAATACCTGCTAATGTTGAACCGGGATTTGTCAGTGTTACAGGCATTGAGTATTTCCAGCTGTACAGAGAGCTATGTTTCAGCCGCGAAAACTAAGCAAAGAAATGAGACTTGGCCTGGAAGGTACAGATTCGGTTACTGGCAGGGATTTTTCTCTTCCCTATCGTAACCCAACCAGTCGCGAGGCATTCTCTCTGCGTGCAGGTTTCTTTCCAGCAAGTCGAAACTTCAACCAGTGTCGGTTTTAACCATATTTGTACTGAGTTTAAGTAGAAAACACACATATTTCAGGTTATGTATTTGAGTTTTAAGTCATAATTTCCACTGATGGAAAGATAATTTTTTTTAGTTGATCGTTCAATCTCACTAAATCGTCATATTCATTGTCAAAACATTCCTCTTTGAGCCTTAATATTCCTTGGAATGATCTGCCAGATTTGATCTGGTTTTCACTTCTTTGGATTTCGCAACAACAGGTTTTAGCAAAGCTAGGTCATCAGCCTTGCTTCCAGTACCACACCTGGAGAACCAGGATTCCGTCTTTGTATCTCCCAGTGACACGGTAGACGAGTTACAACCCCCCCCCCCCGGCACAGTGTTCCCTTTTCGTCGCTTTCTACGACACACAGGGCTACAGTGGAGGTATTCTAGCCTGCCTCCAAACCAAAATAACTGTAACATCTAGTAATTTAGTACTGCCATTGACCGGCACCATTTGTAATAACAACTGAATTTCTATTAAAATTGTAATTATTCATGTGGAGTGCCTTAGGAAAACACCTTCGTAGCAATTACGGTGCACGGACTTTTCACAGGTCTATACTCTTTATGGCTTTTGGGAGAAGTAACAGCTGCTTGATACCTCGCTTCGTACGCGAGAGCTAAAGTCTTGGCAAACAGACGGGTGACTGCTGAACGGAGCGTTATCTGGAGGGGCAGGGTTGGTAGAACCTGCCCCGTGGGCCATATCAGGGTAGGATACATTTTCAATCTTGCATGCGGCAACACGTTAAGATTACAGGAAAACAAAACTGTGTGTCTCCTGCATACACTTATATTATAAATATAATTTAACCGTAATTTTAAAATATTGTTACGAAACAGCGCTTTGTGGGATACTACTTCCTCATGGTGGAAGATCACTCTCTTCTACTATGTGGTCCCGTATAGTGTGGTATTTAGCCAGTTTTATGGAAATAATTCTGCTCTTGTGGAATAGGATGAAATGGCCCAAGTTTTATGTGTGTATGTGTGTGTAAGGGGTGGGCCATAAAATCCGGCCCTCGCACTGCGACCTTCGATGATCTATTGTGCTTCCGCTTTGGATTAACTTTTTATTAATCCTACAATTCGAATGAAATGTAGGACTTTATTTATGGGGCCGTCAAAAAGTCACTTCATTCCATGAAGAACTGACCCAGGTGACTAAATCTTAAGTAAACTATGTCCTCAGAATCACATAGGATATGTGTGGCTGATTCTTCTTGGACGCAACTTTCACAGGTTGGGTCATCATTGCCCAAGTTAAAGCTGTGTGTCACCGCAAGTGACATAAGGGTTTAAGTGGACCTGCCGGTGTGTCTCATGTAGACCTGAGAACACACGCCCATTGTCTTTAAGTCATGTCCATCCTTCAGAGGTCGAAGAAAACCGGAATTCATCCCCTGCGGGAAGCCAACATAGACATCAACATCTGAGACGGCAGTTACAGTCAGAACATCTGGACTCTATTGTGCTTTGTTAAGTGTAAACAGTCTCTTAGCTCGAAGGGTACTTACTGCCTTCTGGGATATAACGCCGTGTAGTCCGTTGAAAATCAAACGACGTTTCGGAGGAACAAATCGCCTCCACCATTCGGGTCGAATAATAAGCCGAGCAAACAGAGCTCTGCTTTCCACGTGCTTTCACGCTGGTATCTTGTTCGGGTTATTCGACTCTGAAGATTGAGGCGATATGTTCCCCCGAAATGTCGGTTTACTTTTAACATACTACACAGCGTTATATCCCAGAAGATAGTTTTCCCCATAAGCACCTATATAAGAATATCAAATCCTACACAGTTCTTCCTTCGTTTTAATTATGCACATTATTTCTACGTAAAAAGAATAGACATAAATTAAAAATTCCTTTACAATTCCATATAGATGGAGATGTGCCGGCCGTAACCGTAACGCTTGTCTAAGCTGCAGTTTATTTTCTGACACCGTGTAGTCAGGTAGAATAGTTCCTGACGTTTCGGAGGAAACAGCTCTTCAGAATAAATAAGAGTATACGAGCTCATAGGTTCCTCCGAAAATTTTGTAACACTTAACCAGATCGTACGCCGTCACATTCCAGAGGATATTAATCGTCATATTTACCGCCGTGAGAGCCCCGTGTCTCACCTACCTAAGCTGATGATAAGCAAAGAGCCAAAATATTTTCCCAAACCCGTACTGAATTGTACATCGTTGGCTAGAGCAATGGCTGCCCTCGGGCTTTTCATAATATTACTTATGTCGTTACAAAAACAAACTCCGTGGCTTGAGTCCGCAAGCGAACTATACCGACCGAGCGACCGCTGCTTGTCGGCGAAGTTACTGCCAACTTTTGCGGATAGAGGGTGTCGCGTGGTCAGCGCAACAAATCCCCAAGGCCGTTAATCTGTGTTTTCTAGACCGGAGCCGCTATTTCCTTGAAATAGCTCGTCAATTATCCTCACGAAGTTGAGTGGACCCCGTTGCAAACCCACTACTTCTCAGAAAGTCTGGTAGCGCCGGGAATCGAACCCGGACCTCTGGAACTGTAGCCAAGAACTCTGACCACTAGACCACAGAGGCGGTCTATGTTGTTAGATGACAATGGAAATAAATTTTGTTCTTCAGGGAGTCCCAAAATGTATTTCATTTTCCTTCGCTTGTAGCTTGCAGATGGCAGAATGTAGGGGATATAACTGGCATTGTGTTCACCGCCTTCTGTAGGGATTACTCAGCGCAGCTGAAGAGTTTTATCTGCTGGGAAATCCTACATTCAGTGACGTACACAGTTCGATTGTATGATTCCACGATCAAGCACAAAGTTGCCACTGCAATTGGACGTAAGATGTTTGTTTGTAGCGCAGCATTCCCGATCGTTTATTTGATCATCATCACGTGTTTTCTTTTTCTCCTTCTTAAGCTGGTGCAAGGCAAACTGTGTAGTCATCAACTCTGTTGGTTAAATTAAAATATTATTATGGCTGTATATCCCTTTGTTTGACCTTGACCATTTTTTCAGTTTCTTGAGCGTATACACGGTCGGTAAGACCCTTTGGATCGGGGATCAGCCCGTTCGAAGGCTGCTACATGCACACATAACACACACACAATACAGATATCCATACCTTGAGCGGGATTCGAACTCAAGATCCAAATGTTCCAGCGAGAGAAGACAGTTCATGCCTTATACTGCGCATCTACTGTGATCGGCATTAAAATGTTATATCTGGTTTAAATCGAGACCAGAATTAAAATGAATGAATTAATTGCTTCCGTTGTTGATAAGGTGGGGGTTAAATTCTGATGTAACCGTGTATAACGTTCGCCGTTGTTTCTTGGTTATGTGTTTGTCGGAGTGTTGAGGGGGTGGGTGATCTTGCTTAATTACTGAATTATGTAAAAGAAAAAGGCAGAGTTGTCCTTATGCTAAACTAATCAAGCACTACGCCATGAAGACCTATGGTGGAGTAGATGCATAGATTCACGTTTTCTTAACCTCGGCACTTATTGGAGATGAGTGATCAGCTTCACGCGCCGTCCGCTTTACCCCCGGAGAAAGAGACCCCCCCCATGTACCTTTGGATAGGAGGCTGGAAGACATGGACACGTGAAAAATCTTGCCCTCACCATACTCGAACTCAGACCCCTCGGTCGTCCAGCCCTGTAGCCAGTCGCTATACCGACTGCGCTATCCCGGTTCTCGACTGAATTATGTACAGAATATAAATTAAAATAAGGGGAAGGATGATATTTCTCGTCGAAGCTAGAGACTGCTATGTAGTAGTAGTGCGTGGTGGGATTGAACTGTGTAAACTTACCCGGTTTCGTGGTATGGCACTGCGTTATTGAGCCATCTAGCGGGAAATATGCAAACCATGGAATACATAACCCATTTCGTAAGACTGTAGATTGTAGGCCTGTACCACGTTATAAATTACGTGACCAAATAAGGTACGTGTGCTGTGAAGTAGATAATAGGTTT